GGAAGAAAGGAAGAAAGGAAGAAAGGAAGAAAGGAAGAAAGGAAGAAGGAAGAAGAAGATGATGATGATGAGGATGAATGCGATGTCTATGACGATCATGATGATGATAGTGATGATGATCATTGAGATGATAGTTGGACACTTGAAGTTGGTACGAATTGCCGTTTGTTACTCAGAACCCTTCAAAGGTGCTTTTCGGGAAAAAAAAGCTGGCGCAAAAAAAGAGTCAGCAAAGAAAACCAAAAGTCCACGCGTCGCGTACGTCTTCAAAAGCATGACAAGGTCCCATTCCTCAACATGCTGCGCTCCCATTTTGCGGACGAAGGAAAGGCGTTCGGACGTGAAGGATCTTCGGTCTTCGTTCACCATCCAGTGAGTGGATGTTCTGGGCACCCCTATCCTCGAACAAGCACCCCCATTCATATTGTTCCATCTTAATGCTTCCCACTACTAGTACGGCTCAGGTGCAAAGGAGTCTAACCCGATGTCTTCTTCTTCATCTTCATCAGCGTCAAATTTCTCGCAGCGTCCTTCCCGACCACCATCAGGATCCTCAATGAAAATGCACCCGTATTGGTGGTCTGTGGCATCCCGAACAGCTTCATCTTGGTCTATGCACTGAACCCTGTTATCGCTGCCCCTCTTGCAGAACGTGTCTGCGTTCACAGCAGCAACTTGTTTGAAGGTATCCACATCCATGCACACAAACGGACCGAAGCCCTCATCTGTTTTGTACTTCTTCATTTGCCGTTCTTTCAGTATTTCTGGGCATATTGCGGCAGCTTCTTTATATCTGCATATTCTCTTCTTCTTCCCATTGAAGTGGAGGGAGCAAATCTCATCATCCCGCGAAGTCCAAGTGAAGCCCTCAGAAAACCAGGCACCTTCGAATTTTTTGCATTCGGACTCACGCTTGTCTTTGCTCTCTGCTTTTTCGTTGATATGGCGAGATCCTTCCGGACACCTGAGCGGTGTCCAAACACATCAATATCTGGCTATGTGTCGGACTATAGAACTCGGAAACTCCTCTGATCCCTACTAACAACATCTAACAACCAGCAGACTCATCTCGGAGCAAATTTTGGAATGCTTTTGGACATAGCCCACCTGGTGTTGTCAATTTGATCCACCAAAACGAAGCCTGGCACCACCTCGTCGCTAAGCACGGGCTCAGGGGGCGAGAGAGTTCGAGTGGTCCAAACGATGGTGATCTGGCACATCAAGAAAATCCACGTAAATGCCGCCATGAAACCTTGGAACTGATTGTTCGCACACCCGAAAAGTCAAAATCGACACGCGGGCCCTGCATCAATGAGTAGAGTGGATACTGCGAGGGGGAACCAGCATTGGCGATAACCTAAGTATAAGCTATAAATATTATATATATATATATATGTTTTTACTACACACATCAGAGGACCCCCAATAGTAACACACCTGGGCCTGGGAAAAGGTCAGAACATCTCTCCTAAAATTACTAATCCTGCGTCGGTAGGCAGGACACTGTAAATGATCAACCTGCTTGGATAGTGGATGGGGACCCTAAAGCAAGCCACCGGGTGGTTGTCAAACTTACCTCGTTTTTTTGTTGTTTTACGGATGAGGCAAAAGAAATCAAAAAGAACATCAGGTCGTCAGCTTAGCATAGGTGGGATTCTTGGGTAAAACATGGCAATCCTCACGCTTCGTTGAAGCAATATTTCGACAACTGCACGGACTACAAGCAGAGCTAGACAGCAGGATTTGGCAACAACCCGAAGTCTGCGCATGTGGGCCATATGAAGACAGTTTTGCAGTTAACTTGCAGGGTGTCTTTCCGAGGTCCTCTATAAATAATCGGCAACTACCGGAAGTTCATTGCAGGTGATCCACAAGAATGGTGTCTTCCAGAGATGCCCAAAAACAATCAGCAAATATCTGAAATGCATGCGTGAAGACCAGGATATGGTTTAAGCGCCAGCGTGATGGCCTGCGCACGGACGCAGGAGTACTGTGGCACATTTGGAGGATGTGGAGTCCTGGGATGGAAGACTTATTGTTTTGGAGATTTTGCGAGCTATACCGGATTTTCACGAATGCACAGCGAAGGGTTTCGCTTAACTCTGGGGCCTGGGGGTCTGGGGGTAGAGAGTGCATGATTTGCGTGACATTTCATTCATGTTCGCAACCGAAACTTTGGGGAGCATGTCAACGATTCGAGGGGCTTGGCTTGCGAAACTGCTTGGCAGGGCTGTGTGACGTGTTCGCTTCCCACTTCACTTTAGGAGGAAGTCTCGCACGAAGCGACGGAGCGCTCATTTTGGAGAAACCAGCTTGACGGGTCACCGTGGCATGAAGCCTTGGACGAAATGCCTACAAGTATGTCCCACAAGTGTGTCCTACAAAGGCGTCGCACAAAGGTGTCCAGACTTTCACACACGAGTGTCCCACACGTGTGTGTGTGTGTGTAACCTTTGGAGTCACAAGGTTCCTGTTGGATTGTTAAGCAGGGGGTGCAAGCAGCCCATCCAGTCTTGCACCAACGAAGACACTGGATGTGTGCTGGTGAAATCAATCCGGGACGCCGGATTGACGTACCTGCGTGGAAAGAAACCTACGTGAAGCACAAGCTGTCTACTATAGGTTGTTTCCATCAGTACAAGGTTAGTGCAGCGACACTTCACTTTGGAACTTTCGTGAGCTTGGGATCTGAACTTGAACTTGCCTGTGGAGGCTTTGGAGGTTTTGGCTTCATCCGTTTTTCACTTAGCTGGATTCTTAGGTCTTTTCACTTAGGCTGGCGTGTGGCAAACTGCAACCAAATCAGTAGGCATTTCTATAAGTGTGTCTGATGTCTGTGCCACAAATGTGTCCTCTTAGAAGAGTGTCACCCAAGAATGTCCTTGAAGCGTGTCTTTGAAGAGTGTCAAGCAAGAGTGTCAAACAACGTTTGGCTCAGTGTTTGCCCACGTGTGTGCTCGGGTTCGTGGGCTCCATCTTGTTGTTAACGCAGGGCTTGGGCCTGTTTGTTGCCTCTTGAGCTGCTTTGCTTCTGAAAGCAGCTTCGTGTTTTGGATGTTGCCAGTATGCTGCAGCCGCTAGGAACGCCTGCTGAAGCCCGCAAAAGCCTACCTTCATCCGATAGGCTCACCACCCTTGTTGAGTGCATGTGTACAAATTCATTTGTGCTGGGTGCTGAGGCACTCCATGGCCCTTGACTCATGGTAGTAGAAAGGGCAAACAACAACTTCCCGGTACTTCTACAATATTATTACATATTACAGCTTATTGCAAGTCCTCTTTCAGCAGACAGGACACTGTACATCTGCAAGCTTCTGGGCGAAAGCTTGACAAACCACGAGACTTTTGAGCCCAAATCTGGCGGCCTTGAGCATCACAACTCATCGCCATGATTGGTTCTATCTTGCAAAAAGCTGTACCATTCAGGACTTCCTCTGCTAAAATAGGACTTTCCAAGTTGCCGGGCTTTGAACATGCATGAGCACATGCGAAAAGACATGTAATTGTAAATACTGTAAAGATTATTTTTGGGCCATGTATAGTTCTAGCAAAGTTCTAGCCAATATCCGCGTATCAAATGCTTCGTACGTCTTCAAGTCCGCAATAGATGTCTCAGTCCCGTCTTCGAGCATGAATTGCCCCGAAAGAAGGGAGCCCTGTGTGGACGTGAATAATTTTCATTCATGGGGCGTGAAGGATGATTTTTGTTCCACAGAAACATGATTTGGTGTTCATGTTCATGTGCATGAATGGAACTTTTCCGCAGTTCTGCAGAACCTGCATCTGATTCTGCTGAGTCGAGTGGTGAACCCTGTAACTCTAGTACGCGTCCAAATCGATTTCATCGGAGTCATCTGCCATGGGGTCAAATTTCCTGCAGCGTCCTTTCCCAGCACCATCAGAATCCGAAATGATCTTGCACCCATATTGGTGGTCTGTGGCATCCTGAACAGCTTCGTCTTGGTCTATGCACTGAACCCGGCTATCTTTGCCCTTCTCGCAGAACTTGTCCGCATTCACACCAGCAATTTGTTTGAAGGTATCCACATCCATGCACACAAACGGACCGAAGCCCTCATCTGTTTTGTACTTCTTCATTTGCCGTTCTTTCAGTATTTCTGGGCATCTTGCGGCGGCTTCTTTATATCTGCATATTCTCTTCTTCTCTCCATTGACGTGAAGGGAGCAAACCTCGATACCCCGCGTTTTCCACCGAGAAGTCCACCGCGAAGTCCAAGTGAAGCCCTCAGAAAACCAAGCACCTTGAAATTGTTTGCATTCGGACTCACGCTTGTCTTTGCTCTCTGCTTTTCCGTTGATATGGCGAGATCCTTTCGGACACCTGAGCGGTGTCCAAACAGATCAATATCTGGCTATGTGTCGGACTATAGAACTCGGAAACTCCTCTGATCCCTACTAACAACATCTAACAACCAGCAGTCTCATCTCGGAGCAAATTTTGGAATGCTTTTGGACATAGCCCACCTGGTGTTGTCAATTTGATCCACCAAAACGAAGCCTGGCACCACCTCGTCGCTAAGCACGGGCTCAGGGGGGCGAGAGAGTTCGAGTGGTCCAAACGATGGTGATCTGGCACATCAAGAAAATCCACGTAAATGCCGCCATGAAACCTTGGAACTGATTGTTCGCACACCCGAAAAGTCAAAATCGACACGCGGGCCCTGCATCAATGAGTAGAGTGGATGCTGCGAGGGGGGAACCAGCATTGCCGATAACCTAGATATAAGCTATACCAGGACCCTCCAACCAGCTGTTTGGAGACCCTAACAGGTGGTTTTAACAGGTGGTTTCTGGGCACGCACCTGTCAGGAAGCACCTGTTGGAGGGTGCTGGTACATAATATGTATAAAACTATACACACATCAGAGGATCCCAATAATAACACACCTGGGCCTGGGAAAAGGTGGGAACATGTCTACTAACATTACTAACCCGGTGTCGGTAGACGGGACACTGTAAATGTTCGTCCTGCTGCAAGTCCTCTTTCAGCAGACAGGACAACGCAAATCTCCAAGCTTCTGGGATAGCTTCACAAACCACGACGAGACTTCTGAGCCATACAAATCTGGCGGCCTTGAGCATCACAACTCATCGCTATGATTGGTTCTATATTGCAAAAAGCTGCACCATTCAGGACTTGCTCTGCTAAAATAGGACTTTCCAAGTTGCCGGATTTTGAACATGCCGTGTCATTTTCACAGTGGAACTCATCAATGAAACCACTGCTCATGAGTGTCAATCAAACTCTAGAGCAGACTGAGAACGAGTCGTCTGCACTTCTAGGAGTTCGTCGAACTCCACGGCGAAACGCCCGGCGATGTCGTCGGGAACCGCGCCTCCGGAGGCTCTGAAGGCTTCTGCGAAGCCGGGGCACTCCTGGAGTGCTTTGGAAGGTGAAGGGGGAAAGAAGCAAAGACTGAAGGCACACCATGCGCGCGCATGCGCCATGCGCCATCCCTCTATTCCCAGCAGTTTCTGGCCAAAGCCAACAATGGACTTGATACTTGGCTGTAGCTAAAAAAGTCAGAAAACAGGGACAGGGACACGCATGTCTTGGTCTATTTTGCCACATACCAGTGCATTCGGATGGCAACCTATTCTTGAGCCATAGCCACATTCCGCTGAAGAAACAGACTTCTGGCTGGGGGGTTTACCACGTGCTCGGAACCGGCAAAGTGCATGGGACCAATAGATCTTTTGAGCGGTTGGGTTGGTCCTACATGGACTTCATTCTCCCAACAAAACTGCAGGCGGGGAAAGACACAATGAAGCTGTACCACCCAGCAGGATATGGAAACCGCAGGTGCTTGGCGCAGGTGGCCCAGCTTCATCGTCACTGCGCCAGGGCGAAGCAACGGTCGGACCGATACGGTGCACTCGCCGGGCGGGTCAGTTCCGCGTCCTGCAACAAGACGCACAGCCGCAAGACCGTCTGGGGTGGAGTTCGGGCACCCAGGCCGCGCACCAGCGTCGCCACAAACCTGGCCGAACCGCGACAGTTCGGGTTCGGATGGCCGGGCGTTTGCGTCGGCAGGTGCAGCGTGGCATTGCACGGGAATCCCGCTCCAAGTGCTAAGTCAAACTTGAAATGGCTCCAATTGCCAGTGACTTGCGTCAAGGGGGTCATTTGTATATAATCTTCAAGTTGCATTCACTGCTCGGACTCTTGTTTTGGCAGGAACAGTTCGCTCCATTAGCATTTTGGGATCTACACGCGGTTGGACAAGCATGTCCTTCATAGAACTTTGGATTTAGATTGGATTCTTGGAGTGGCAGACTAGACTTCCAAGAACTACCCTCAAAATTGCTGCAAAGGAAATCGTTCGCTGGAAATAAATAGATGTGCCTTCCTTCAGGAATGTCTTGCATACCCTAAGAATACAAATTAAATATACAGTGTGTATTAATCGACAATATTATATATATATATATTGCGATACATATATATATATATATACATCTCAAACTTCACGAAAAGAGTTAGTTCCCCATTCTTCACCCAGATAAAAACCCATTCAACACTAGGCCACAGCTCCGTATGAAGGAACGGCCGAAGAAACCTCGCATCCTTCGCCAGGAGCGGCGAGACGGCACCGCCCGGGCCGCTGGCCATGACCAGGTCGCAGAGCACCTGCAGAGCGCAGCGGCGCAGCAAATCAGCTCAATGGTCCATGCTTTTTAAAGGCATGCCATGGCAAGTCTAAAGGTCCAATCGTGAAGATGATGCGTGCGTCGATAAATCGTGAAGATGTCTTCCATGCAGGTAGAGATCCCTTTGCTGGTTGCAGTTGGAGATCGCTTCACACGAGAACAGCCGCCTCCTCTTCAAACAATGAGCAAGGCATCGGTGACTGTTCTCTGAGGGACACAGCCACAACCCTGACCAAAAATCCATGCTCGCGGCACTGCGCGAATCCCAGACTCTGCGGAGGAGAGGGAGCTGAGAAACCTCTGTAGAACGTACAAAAGCCAAGGAAAAGAGGCATCGGCCGGGGTTTAGTAGATGGACATAGATGAACTTTAAATTGTTTCCAAAATGGCCTTCATCATCCTTCATCTCTTGGCACACCTTGGCTGAAAAAAGAGCACATCCTTCTCTGTCAACCTTCGCTCAATCCCCCCAAAACCGTCGAAATCCCCAGGCCGGTCGCGCCCCACTCCGGTCGCGCCGCGCCCTCTGCCCTCGCCCTCGGACGCGGGACGTCGCCTCCAAGACCGTGTTGCTCAAGATGTGAGACTCGTGGCGCAGCTGCAGAACCAGCGGCTCCACCTGTACGACTCGGTCTCCGCGCGGCGAGACGGCGCGAAGTAGAAGGCGAGGCGGGGAGCTGAGCTGGGGCAGCTCCGGAGCTGAAGTGTAGAGAGGCCCTTAAGAAGGGCCCAAATACTGGTTCGATGTCGTGGAGTGGATGTTAGTCTATAAGAACTCATCGATTTTGTGTAGTTAACAAATAGTTACTATATGTCTTGCTACGAGTTTCTCGTAAGTAGTACCTATAACGTACCAATAAGATTGGACATGCTTGGACATGTATACTATCAATTGAATAGCAAGCAACAAAAGCATAGAGGTTGTAAATTAATAGTCGTTGCAGTGCAACCGCAATAAGGACAAGCTGAAGCTGAATCCACCGCCACGAATTCTTAAGCCTGGAAGCAGGCTAAGCGGGTGATGTCTTCTTTCAACTCGCTTCCAGCACTTGAAATTCCAAGCATGATCAACCGTGTTCCTTCTCCCACGTGTTCCTTAAAACACACTCTTCTTCTCCACTGTTTCACTATGTTTCACTCCCACACTCCGGCACAAAACTCCTCCACAGCTCGCTTCCTATTCTCCCTGTCGTCCTTTTCGGTGCCACTTGATCCCCTGAGACTCTCGCCATGGTCTCCATGGGAATCGTCAGGGTCTCCGTGGGGCCACACATCAACACACCGATGGCGGCCACCATGTCGTCCGCCTCGGCGCCAAGCCGCTCCGGACCGGGACCGCTGACGCGGAGCACGGTGGAGCACCCGGTTAGCAGCAGTGGTCAGTGTTCTGAAGCGGACCTTTTTCGGTAGCCAAACAGAGAAGAAACCCAGAAGTCTCTTGGAAAATAGGAGGATAGTATATGGAACAGTGTAGGCTTTTTCAACAAGAAACCCGTTCTTGCCATGCAATAAGAAAATGCCTTCCTTCGTCCTCTTTCCTTCCCTCAAGTTGAAACCCTCACAGTGGCTTCCAAGGATAGAAGCTCCAGCTCTACCAGCTCGAGTGGGCGTGGGCGCGGCTTTGTGCCGCAAAGCGGCCTCCGCTTCTTCAGCACTGGGCAGTGCCTGCCAGGAATTCTCCAGGAATTGACATTTCCTCTATAGGCATTGTCCACTGCATGTGTTGTAGCTTGGCTGCCGATTTCAACCATTCCATGTGTTCTCGTCAACGGTAAGGTATCAATCAACAGCTTTGGAGCTGTGAAAAAGGACTGTGTGACAATCCCTAACCACAAGAGGATTGAACATTGTAGAAACTCCCCAGCCAGGAAATGTTGAGTTCGTCTCGTAGTCCAAAATCCTCAGTAAGACAATGGCTAGTTGGTAGAAAGCATGACGGTTCTTCTTTCATGGCACCATCCAATTCAGGTGATTCTGGTAGAAACAAATGGACCCCCCATCTTTTCACCTCTTGGGGTGGCCATGTCTCACCTCTGAAACCACGAGGTTTTCTCGAATTGACCTGCGGAAGTCGGACCCTTTTTCCGGGGTGTTTGGGCTCGATTCGTTGAAGAGTGTTGAGGAAGTGAGTTGGAAGCAATTGGAAGCAATTCTTAGTACCTTTTTGATGTATATAGTCCTGTCATGATAGCCTTGGCCGCTTCAGCTCAGAATGTACGAACCAATGAATGGAAATGGTGCTCAAAGCACGCCCTCTGGCTGGCGATTCTAGACTCAATATAAAATGCAGCCAGACCTCAGACTGGAACCGGTGAGCAACAAAAAGAGGGTCCAAAGAATCCAGATTCATACAACCTGCTCGTGCTTCATAGATGGTGCTAGACGGAATCCATTGTTGCAGTGGAAGCTTCCCCCCATCCGCCCAAGGAGGGCGGGCGAGGAACACCGATGGAGCGCCTCCAATAAGATCTTGAGCGCAGGTCTCCTCGGCGACCAGGGGAGACCGACACCGGACACCTTCGGGAGACCGGAGACCGGCCATGACGGAGCTTCCCGAGCTTCGGTTCTCGAGCTGAAGGGGGCGAAACTGGGGTCTCCCTAACTGAATACCGCGGAGCTTTAGAGTGGGTCTTAGTGGGTCTTAGTTATAGGGTCTTCTTCTTAGCCGTCCAATTTGAAAGGAAATGGACTCTTCCGCACTTCGCCTCCAACGACCGAAGCTTCGAGATGGACCCCACTTCACGCCCAGCTCATGCGGGGTGTGTGGGTTGGGTTTCGTGGCGATGCACAGGGCGCCGGCCGCCCGGCGAGAGGCGCCAGCGCCATCTGGAGACATCGTGGGCGTTTTTGAACGGGATGCTCACAGAGAAGGGTTGGGTGGAGAAGGGGGCATTGGTCCAAAAGAGATCGACCCCGAGGGGCTTGTGACGTTCGTAGCGAACGTCCGATCGCTCCGTTCGTAGCGAGGCCAGGGTCGCCCCGTTCGTCGCTGCTCAATTGAAATCCCAGTGGCCCCTCTTCTCGAAGCTCCGCCTCGCAACACACGTTGCACAGCGCCGCACTGGCCGGACCGCGGGCCGTGGGCACGGTCAGCAGCTGCAGCAGCTGGGGCAAAAGCGGCCGACCCACCGGCCGACGGAGCACGGTGCAGCGTCCCAGGTGTTGGACGACACGACAGGCCAAGGCGGCGCGGCTCGGAGCGCCGGCGCCGGGAGCAGCGCTCGCGCCGCCGCTGGCGCTGAGGGAGTTGGAGAGGAAGGGAGCTAACATGGAGAAGTGCCGTTGGAAGTCCTGCAAGTGGATGCATGACTTGAGCTTTATATCTGAGGTCCGAGATGGCTTTGTGGACCTTTTACTATACTCCAAAATCGACTTCCTGAGAGTGCTAAAGTCCTTCCGCGCCCCAAGTCTGATGAACACTCGCCTGGAAA